ATGAAGAACTTTTCTGTATGCACCCTCTCCACCCAACTCCTGCTTTTAGAGACCTCTATCCTGTCCCCCCTCCATCTCCTCTTTTCTAAGCTGAAAAGTCCCAGTCTCTTTAGCCTCTCTTCATATGAGACCTGTTCCCAACCCCTGATCATTTTAGTTGCCCTCCCCTCTCCCACCCTCTCTCTTCCCCTCTCCCACCTCCTTTTCCCAGTCTCCCCCAGTTTTGTTCAATAAAGACAGATTCCATTTTTGAACACAATTGTCCTTTATTTTGTACATCAAGAAAAGAGGCTAGGGAAGGGTAAATGGAAGGAGGTGAGGGAGGAATGGGGTACGAGCCCCCGATGGGGAGGACTGGGCTGGCTCTGCGGGCTTTTGGGGTGGAACCTCTCCTGCAGCCCCCGATTGCCCCCTCTTCCCAGATGGCAACCTGCGGTAAGTGCAGCCGGGCTGATGGCCAAGTGCTGTGATGTGCCCAGTGTGGGTACTCCGGGCACTCCAAGCCAGGACTGCTTTGCAAGTGGGGAACCCCTGAGAACTGTCTGTCCAGGGTGGGGGTCGGGTCCCTTTAAGCACAGCCCTCGGCTAGCCTGAGACAACATCTCCACGCTCTAAGTCCTAACCTGATGTCCTGCCGGCACTGCTTCCGGCCATCCTTAAGCCTGGTTCAGGGTCCACTTAATGTGGACATGCTAGTTCGAATTAGCAAAACGCTAATTCGAACTAGTTTTTTAGTCTAGATCTGTTAGTTTGAATTAACGTTGTAGTGTAGACGTACCCTAGGTGACTACAACCAGGAAAAAACTTACTTTTTCAAGTGGCACAGGTTCACATCCTGGTGTAACGCCCACAATCAGCTCCCAGAGTCAACGACTCTTTCGAACATCCTGGATTACTTACTCCACCTAAAACAAACAGGACTCTCATTAGCACCACTCAAAATCCAACTGGCGGTGATCTCTGCATTCAGACAACTGTTTGACGGCACCTCCCTCTTCGCCCACCCAATCATTAAACATTTTTTCAGGGACCTCACAAACATCAGTCCACCACGCAATCCCACTCCTCCTGTATGGAACTTGGATACCATCTTAGAAGCTCTAATGACTCTCCCATTTGAGCCACTCGCCACCATATCTTTATGAAATTTGACGACGAAAATGGCCTTTTTATTAGCCATTACCTTAGCTTGTCGAGTGGGTGAGTCATCAGCCATAATGGCAATGCCCCCATACACCGTTTTTAATAAAGAAGGGGTAGTCCTCAGACTTCATCCCAGATTCGTTCCTAAGATAGCATCGAGTTTTCATGTGAACGACCCTATTATTCTCCCGGTATTCTACGTGAAACCTCACGCCTCTCCACGAGACATGGCCCTTAACACACTCAATGTTCAAAGAGCCTTGGCCTTCTATTTAGAGCATACCAGTCCATTTAGACAAACTAATCGACTAATTCTATCCCTAGCTGATAGATCTAAAGGCCAGCCCTTATCATCCCAACGAATTTCTAATCTGATAACTACTTGCATAATAGAGGCCTATGCCTCCAAGAATATTCTGCTCCGAGTGCACCCTCGCGCACATTCCACTAGGGCTATGGCAACCTCTATGGCCTTCCTTAAGGGAGTTCCCCTGATAGACATTTGCAGAGCAGCCACATGGTCCATACACAACACCTTTATCAAACACTACTCCTTTCTTCTGAGGAGACAGTCGGACTCTGCAGTGACATCAGCAGAGCTTTCCACAGCGGAAAGATAGTGACTCCATTTTTTCCCGCCTTCCGATTTGGCAACTACTGCTTTTTAGTCACCAACAGTGGAGCACCCACGGAGACATCCTCGAAGAAGAAAGCGAAGTTACTCACCTCGGTGCAGTAACTGTCGTTCTTTGAGGGGGGCCTCGTGGGTGCTCTACTACCCACCCTCCTCCCCACTTCGGAGTCTGTTTTTTCTCTTGTGTTACAGATTCTGAGGCAGTCTTGAGGAACTGGTGGGAGCCAGACTACGCACTCAGTCCCATTTCTTTCACCAAGCTGGAACGGAAGAGATGGGTGAATGGAATTGGATGTTGACAACGTGTGAAGGCAGTAGACAGTATCAACACTACTTGGTAAGGCAGTTCCTAGCACATCTCTCATGAGGCACAGAACCCTGGGACACCACCACGTTTTTTGGTGCGACACATACCAAAAAAATAAGCAGCAGTATGGAAGCAGGTCTTAGCCAGGTATTGTACCACAATCAGTGATCAATTCCTTCAAATTACTGTACAGAAGAGATCAAGCAATTTTTTATAATTTTAAAAGATTATTCGGTATTTATAACTGCCACATGGATGCCTCAGTCTGATTTACTCTTTTCATAATCCATCAGTTGTTTGCTTTACCTACCCCCCTGCCTCACACACCCCATCATGCACTCAGACACGGGTTTATTGCTGGAAGGTGGCACAGAAGCAGCTGAGATCCAAACTAAGTAGTCAGGCTACCAGGTAATGAACTTTCTCCTTCAGTCCAGTCCCCCTTCAGTATAAGGAACTGGATAATTAACAGTAGAGGACAGGATGGGACATGATCATGTTTATCCCTCTGTGAACTCTTTACTCATCTCTCCACTTCGTAATTTCTCCTTCTCCAATCCTGCTCTTACCCTTCATCGTCTCCCCTGCACCCACTCCCTTTCTACCAATTCACCTGTACCTAAATCAGGAGCTGAGGTTATTCTCCTGCATTCAAACTTGCAAAAAACATTACACCTCTCCAGGATCCTTCTGCTCCCTCATCTCAACCTTGAACTCAGACACCCCGTACATATACCTCCATATGAGAACTTCTAATAAAACCTTTCCACAATTCAGAATCACCCTTCAACTCTGAATTCTCTTCCACTCAATAGTCAGGTTCAGAACTGCACCATACATGCACACACACATGTTCCTTCTAGAAATATCTGAGCCTAAACCTGGTCTCATTTAGAATGTATATTGAGATGCCTCTCTTCATCTATGCTTTTCATTATTCCTGGGCACTGAAATCTCTGGCATTCAGCCTATTGCTTAACTTTTTCTATGCCCTTTTCTTCTAGAGTCATGAAGCTGTGTGGGGAAAGCCAAGTTACCATGGTGATGAACACCTCATAAATTAATAAGAGCAATTAATTACATAATAAGATTAATGTAACAGATAGTGTCATAGCAATAATGGCTGGTAAATGCTCCAACTTCATTTTTGTTAAGTCTTCCAGATATTCTGTAGTGTTTATTACATTACAAGGGACATTTGGTTTGTGTTAGGTTAATTTCTCCTAGCTTCTCTTTTCACAACAATGCAGCGTTCACAGCATTTTTTAGTATATTGTTTGCTGAATTTTTATCCTTATCATGCACACAACTATGCTGTCCATACCAAAACAAAATCAGCAAGACTAACCACTCAAGTGTGACTAAAGTAATCTTGGAAATACCAGGGATAAACTGATACACAACCCACCCGCATCACTCAGCATATAAACCAAAGTTGCTATATACTACCTGTCAACCAATATAAAACTCTAATATTGTTCCCTTCTGGATCTCGATTTCAAAGACAGAAAAATGGGGAAATATGAAAAAGGAAAAGATAAACAAATATAGTTATGAGCACAATGATAACTCCTCATGTAGTATGCTATGTATAATTTTCAAACCTTTCAAACCTTTTTCTAATGTATAAAGCCAATATGTCCTTATTGATTCAAACAGCTATCACAATCTATTGATACAATTAACATAGCTGCAAGTGTGTAAACGTGTGTATGTACACACCAATGAATTATAAACTACTTTCAGTCTCCCAGAATGTATATAACAAATTACCCTTCCTAAACTTATTGTGCCAATGCTGCCAATTGTTTTATAAATATATATCCCCTATGAAAATTAAGTCCACAGGATGATGACTTTCTACTTGATGTGTAAGAAATATTTTCATTTATCAACTTCAATATTACAGAATTACTCCCACCTCTTTTAGTATGAAACAATGAATAGCAGCTCTGTGTTTTACTATGATTGATTTTATGTAACTGTATCATACCTCTGTTACAAATAAGCTATTTCACATTTTCCTCTCTCTTACTATATGCAGTCAAATGATCAAAACACTTGTTCAAAGAGCAGAGGTATCATTCATTTATATAATAAGATCTTGTTAATATTTTACTGTCTGCCCTTTAGCTAAAAAGAATAATTATCTGAAAGTGTGTATTTGTATACCTCTTCATTGAATATGAAAGGGCCAAATTATGTGTTTACTTGCATCCAGGCAGCCCCATTGACATCTGCAGGATTGCAGAATTTGGTCAGAGATGAGATTTTTGTACAGAAAGTTTAATTAATCAGAGATAGATCAAAACACTGGCCTGTTACTTATTGTACTTTCAGCAAGTGCAATGTGCTGCTCATATGATCTTCTGGCTATTGTCTCATACTATCAAGACTGTTTCCCACTCTGGCACTCTGAGTGCAGAAGGTGGAGGTCCACAAGAGCCCTAAAAAATATCTTGCCTCTATAGGCTTCTGCTTAAAAACCTCCCCAAAGTCACAGATTTCCTGGCCTTGGGAAATAGGCTGCCACTATCAAGTGAAAACCCCATTCTTCTTGGACCTAGGAAGAAAGCACTTAAACGTATTCCAGAGGTATGCTCCCAACTTCTTTTACCACAAGAGAGCTTGAAGAAAAAAAGAGAAAACAAACCGCAATCTCTGACAGCTGACCTCTCAAAAAAGGTGATGTTATTAATGAAACAAAAAGATATATTTGATAAAACATACTTGGTTGCTAGGTGTTACAGAGCAACTAAGAAAAGGGCAAATTAAAACACAGAGAAGATGGTATTTATGGGCTGCAGGTTATGAGGGGGCGCACATGGACTTAGCACAGAGAAGTTTAACCAACAAAACAAAGAAAATAACCTGATTGCAACTAAATAGACATTTTCCTATCTACTTACAATCTGTGCTTCAAAGTCTAGTCCACCTCTATCCTCGGTATTCCTTGTAGGCATGGTAGGTCTGCATGGTCCAATTCATCTTGTTTCACCAGTTCCTAGTTTAAAACTCCTACAAAGAAAACAGCAGGCAGGTATATCTTTCAATTCAAATTTTGACAGCCTCTCCCATTGGCTCGCTTGGCTCCCTGCCAACATCCCCCAGCTACATGAGTTAACCCTTTAGTCACAAAATGCTGGCCAGCATTCCTCCTATCCATCACACACACAGGTGCACTAACTCTAAAGAGACAACTTTCCTTTCTGTGTATTACCAATACTGTACTTCTACACAGTATTTGTAGATTTGGGCCTGATCCTTATCTCACTTTTGTACCAAGATAATGCCTTTAACTTTTGGTGAAGTTACTGCCATTGACTTTTGGTGAAGTTTATATATTTCTCTAAATGGCTATAATCAATAAAGCTGAAATATTCTTATTCTCACATCACAGAGGCACTCTCGGTGACCATAATACTGATATCTGAGTGTACTATGCATAAACATTAGCACATTTTTCAAACAAATTGTGAAAGTGGTTTTGTTAATAGCAACATTTGGAAAACAGTCCTTCAGTGGATGAATTTCTTCACTTCCCAGAAAGCAAGAAAACAATTGTTTCCTGTAATTGGACAGTTTGATTAGAGGCAGGTGGTGCGGAGCTGAGGAAACTGGAGCCATGAAGCCAATTTTAGCGTCAAGCACATTTCCTTTTACTTTAGGATCCAACAGCATAACATGTAAATTGCTTCCAACAAAAAAGAGAAGAATGTAAATTTAGTTCCTATTTATTATCCCCAACTGGTACTTTATCCACAGTAGAGGTTTGCAGCACACAATTAAGGTACATATTTGACATGAATGTTTAACATACAATGTATAAAGAATCAAAGGGATATAAGCCCAGGGAAGGGAAAAAGATCTATTAGCTCATGAAGTCCAACTCCCAACTAAGATAGGGTTGAAGCAAACATAAGACTTGGTTTGGCAAACTTCTCCAGCTATTATTATTTATCATTTGCTTAGGAGCTCTATTTCTGGACCATTGTGCTAGGTCGGGGTGGGCAAAAGGGCCTCTGCAGGCTGAATCTGGCCCACCAGGCAAGTTGATCCAGCCCATGGAGGCCCTGCCACCAAGCCAATCAGAGCTTAGGGTCGGGGGGAGTGCGTGAAGTCTCCTTCTGCCCTGCAAGGGGCTCAGCACCTAAAATCAACAGTTGGTGGTTAGCTCTAAGCATGGTACTTCCTTGGAGGACAGGGGCAGGGAGCAAGAGACTTCATGTCCTCCCCTCCCCATGCCCTGATTGATCTGGGGGAAGCAGAGGGGAGCATGCGAAGTACCTAGAAGGGCATGGGTACCTAGAGGGAACCACCAACTATTGAGAACAGCTGGTGGTTCTCTGGGGGAGGAGGGCAAAGATTTTGCATGCTCCCCCACCCCCAGACCAATCAGGGTCTGTGGGTGGGAAAGAACGGAAGTGTCCTGGCCCCACCCCTTCTGTCTGAGGCCCCGCCTCTTCCAAGGCAGCCTGGGGCCACTTTAAAAATTTCTGAAGTGGCCCCTGGTCAAAAATTATTGCCCAACTCTATGGTAGATACTGGAAATACATAGAACAAAAGCCAGTTTCTGCCCCAAAAAGCTTATATTCTAAGTATAAGACAAGATAAAACTGATGGATGCAGTCAAACAGGGCAGGAGGAAACAGGGCAGGAGACAGTTCTGAATAGCAAATGGTGAGTGGTCTCAGCACTGTAGCAGCCTACTCAATAGTTCTCTGACTCCACTGGACTTTGACTTCGGTTGACCCTTATAAGATTTGAGTGGTACTGACTTCAGTCAACTTCTGAAATGACCCATGTAAGTAAATGGTACAAACTCAGGCTCTGATTCTTCCTTTCCAAACACACACTAGTTCTGTGTATCCAGACACCAAATCAACCAATGAGAAACAGTACACATAAATATAATCTTGAGGGTCAGAGAGTATTAGGTCAAGCTAAATCTTGCTCTTCAACCAGCTGAACAACTGATTAATGAATACCATTATAATATTAAGTTGTCATTAAGTCTTGCTGAGGGGATAGATTGGTTTGCCAGGTTATTTTATACAGTTGATTTACAATAGATAATTATGCAAAACACTCTACACTTCACAAGAGAAGTAATTTACAATCCATCTCCTACTTGATTATTCAGATAATTTGAATGAAGTTTTTTAGGCAACTGAAAGATCAAAAGCACAGGGACAGCTTGATCCCTGATGTTAGCCTTCTGATGAATTTGGTTTCATACTGTACTAACAATAGAAGTGTCCATTGTAAGGAATAAACCTGAACAATGAAACTCTCTCCCACCAATGACAATCAAGTTTCTACAGTTTACAATGTCACCAAGAGATTTGATTCACCATTGTCTTATGTTGTCATTAGATCCATGCAAACTGGGTGTAAAAAACTACTATTCTAATTTATTAAGGTAAGGGGTGACTTTAATGGATCTCTTATGCCAGCAAAATCATAGAACAGTAGAACTGGAAGGGACCTCGAGAGGTCATCGAGTCCAGTCCTCTGCCCTCACAGCAGGACCCAGTACTGTCTAGACCATCCCAGATAGATGTCTACCTAACCTAAAATACACCAACTTAGCTTCTCCTACACATTAGCAAAGTGGGTAAAAAAAAGGCCCTAACTTGCACCACTTTACACTTCACTTTTCAACTAGGCCCATAGTGTGGAGAGAAGGAAGTTGCCTTCTTTTATCTTCCTGTTGCTAGATTGTGACCAATTTCATGCCCATACAGGGGAGTAAGAAGTGCCTTATATCCCTAGTTAGGCTATATTCTGGTGTCTAGACTCCATGGCACAAAATTACACACCTTCTACTCTTTTCTTGTAGCAGCTGGGCAGGGAGTGGATAGAGTGCAAAAGGGACAGTGCAGAGAGAAAAGTAATTTACTGTATAGGCCAACAATAAATCACTAACCCATGGAAGCAGAGAAGGAACTGTGGCTCATATGTATATATTGCAAATTTCCAGGGGCTACTCCATGGCTAGCATGCATTATGCAGCACTCCATGTTCAGAATTGTGCCTAAGTCACACGAGTCCTGAGCATATGTCCCACTGGCCAGGAATGGGTATCTATGTTTTTCATGCTGCCTGGCACTCAACAAACAGTACTAGAACAGGATTTCCCAATCCACAGAGATATTCAGATACTTGCAGAAGAGGTTTCTAAAGAGACGCAAGCAAACCAAGTTAAAATTGTCAGCCTCAACTCAGGACAAACAATTGACCGGTGTATAAAATGCAATATTTTCCAGAAAGTTAAAGTTGCACCAGCTAAAACTGTCATGAGGTAGATTTAACCTACGTGGTTGCCCTTACAGATAATTCGTGCATATAGAAATTCTGGCAACATTACAGTAGTAATATTTTCATAAGGGTGGCAAAGCCTTAAATAATGTGTTAAGATACTGGGCACACACATGCTTTCCATCAACATCAGACACACAGGACTTGTTTTCAATCTATTCTTTTTCTGGAACAAAGCATTTATTGTGACCTGAACTGGACAAAAAAAACCTGCAGGACAAATGACCTTCTGCACCAGTAGTTGCATCTTTTGAGGAATGAACATAGATTTAATACATGAAGAAAGATACTTAAAGAATACAAGCCCATCCAATCACTCGAATCTGTGTTGGTCCCTATTTTCATCCTCCAATATTTATTTTCATTTATTACTGACCAAACCGCCCTATTTTTTTATAAATTTGGCTAAACATATAATTGGGGTATTGGACTGTGGGTTTTGCAAATGGTGTCTTTTTACCTTACTAACCAGCTCTTCCACTATACTTACAATGCTAAAGATTCAGTTAAATCAAAGACACAGCCCATCAAAGTTTTCATTACTTCCTTCAAAAATTATAATGAATTATATGACTTTTATTTGCTAAGTAGAATCTTTGTCCTTGTGGAATCCATGCTGACTATGAATAATTAGATCACAGGGTTTAAGCTGTCCCTTCTCCATTCTGTCTCAGTTTTTCCAGTATCTTTCCTGTGGCCATGTGTCTTTTCATACTGCTTAGCTAAAAAGGGAAACATCAAATTTAGATGTTGTTATACTAAGGTGATTAAAAAAATGCAGTCCCTGTTGTTGGTCAGACATTTCTTTAGTACACTTGAGTTTGATTGTGATTAGGACAGAACCATATAGTTTATAACATACCTCATGCTATTTGATTCTTACCTAGATAACCATTAATGTCAACTACTCCCCAGTTCTCCTGCGACTCTTTGTTTTATTTTTGTGTCATTTTGTTCAGAAACCTGGCATGCATCTTCCCTGGATATAAATTGTATCAGCCTTTGGAAATCAAGTTTTCAAACATTTCAATTTTGTGATCACCTGTTCAGGTCTGATCCTGATCTTCTGCAGTAATTCTCTTTCCTCCCCTGGGAAATTTTTGTCTGTTTCTGCCATCTGTCCCCCAACTCCCTTTCTGAAAATGGAAGCAAAGAGACAAAGCTTTTAGCAATATTTACCTCTTCTCAAATGACTCTCACAGGCCCAGTGGTCCCTTTCAGTTGTCTCTTGTTCCAAATGTGCTGACAGAAAATGTTACTAATTCAATTAAAAAGTGAACAAAGGTGTGAAAAGCTGTCATTATCAACCTCACCTATGCCCAGCATATTTGGCATCTATTTATTTCAACCTCATGCAATTTTCCTTTCATTCTCCTCCTATCTTTCACATTTAAATATTTTTTAAAATTTCTTTCTGCAGTGAGGTGTGGTCTAGCATTAGAGAGGTTGTCATGTCCCCTGGGTTTTATTGCTACCTTTTCCTTTGACTACTGTGTGACCTTGACTAGCTGACTAAATCCTGCCATGCCTCAGTTTACCCATCTTTGAAATGAATGCTGTCAATTTAATTGACTATTAAAGCTGAATCTAGTCCTTAGATAAAAGGTATTATATATATGTGAAGTTTTCTTATTTGTTTCATATCTACTCTTTTAAGCTGATATTTTACATACATTTATTAATTGCTTCATGTTTACCTCTCATTTAACGTGTGTCTTATGAGACATTAGATATCAAGATCCATACTTAAAACGAACAGTTAACATATGTTAACCTTAGTTTATTTGTGGACACTTTCCACTTCCCCTCATTGCCTCATTCTTTCCCCTCGTTGCTTCATGAAACCACTGAGATGGAATGGGGGTGGGAAAACTGTTGAAAAGAAACTGGAGTTTTAAGGTGAATTGTAGATTTTGTAATTAAAGAACTACTGAGCCTAGAATTCAGAGATTTTTGAATATGTTAATACTTTTGTAATAGTATTTGAATTAAACATCCACTCAAAGTGTTATCAATATTATGAAAGTATGAAAACCAGAAAGAGGAGTAGGATCTAAATAAAAGTTGAGCTGATTAAGTTTATTTTGCCTGCCAAAGCTAAGGGAAATATATAATAAGTAAAGATAAGTTATTAAAATTCATATGATTTTAAAATCTAATACATTTCATAGATGTAATTTAAAAAGTAATATTTTTATCCTAATAGATTGACTTTACTCCAATTTCAGCTTTACAGAGTATCATTAACAAGCACAAAGATGAAGGAAGCTTAATATTTATTTTACCAATACTATA